TCACAGTCTGGCACCAATGTATTACCGAGGTGCCCAGGCGGCCATTGTTGTCTACGACATCACTAACACAGTGAGTACTGCGTAGGGCTGTGAGTGTTGACTGGGGAGGAGGTGTTTGCGCTTGCAGCTCGTGCTTCTCAGTTCCCTGGGAGAGTGTCTGGGTTCAGAGTCCCTGCAGATGCCTGCCTGCAGGTACTGAGTTTCTTGAAAACTGCTAATAGCCTCTTCCTCAGTTCTGACCAAGGCTGTCTATGCTGATAAAGGATCCTGCTACAAAGTGCTGTAGAGGCAGAACACTTCTTACAGGAAAGACTTGTTCTAATCATATCTTCACTGTGGATTAATAAGAGGCTGCCTTTCCTGACTGCTGCCTCCTGTTTGCTTCCAGGACACATTTGTACGAGCCAAGAACTGGGTGAAAGAGTTGCAGAGGCAGGCTAGCCCCAATATTGTAATTGCACTAGCAGGAAACAAGGCAGACCTTGCTACCAAGAGAGCTGTGGACTTCCAGGTGAGTGGGAATCCAGATCAGTTGCCTGAGCAAGTCAGGAAAGCAGCTTTTTGCTTAAGTGGGGGAGATAGTGGCTGTGTGCAACATGCTTTGAGGGAGAGTGGAAGTCAAGATTATGCTGCTGAGGACACCAGGATGCCACTCAGGGAATTGTAGCCTGCCTTTCCTGTGCACTCCTTTCACAGCACTTGTAGCTCTTGTCTGTAACAGTTATGATGAATGTGGAGAATAAGGCCCACAGAGCACAAACTTCTGTCTTCAGTCTCTTCTGGTGCCTTACTCATCTGGGGCTGTCTTCAGCAGTGTATGAAGCAGCGTCTTTTAGATACAAGATACATGAAGAATCATTCCCAGCTTGTTCTCTACTCTTCACAGCTCTTACCTTGTCTAAGGCAGACTTTCAAGGAGAAGCTCTTATCTCAGACCTCTGCACAGGATTGCTTGTGGTGCATTTACAGTGTGCATTACTCTCCCAGCTAACCAAAGTACAAGGTGTTGTGCTGCTCAGGACATGCTGTGTCTACATTTGGCTCACATGGCTCACAAACAGTCTGTGCTGCTGTACCCCAGCTCAGCTGCTGGGACACCAGCCATGCAGTATGATCAGTGGTGCATGTCTCCCAGCTGTCCTGGCCAGGCAGGGTCAGGGGACTGGGGTGGAATGTCTTGCCTGGGGTGGGACAGGGTTTCTTTGGTGTTTAGTTTGCCAGCAAGTGAAGCGTGTTAAGTCTGCTTGGGCCTCCTCTTGGCAGGATGCCGTTATCGCTCTAATGTGATTGTTTGTAGGATGCACAAACATATGCAGATGACAACAGCTTGCTGTTCATGGAGACATCGGCAAAGACGGCGATGAATGTGAATGAAATCTTCATGGCGATAGGTAACAGCTTGTGTGCAGAAGGATGGCTGGAGTAGCTCTGAGCACCAGCAGTGCAGCCCACTGGAAACATGGGAGCTCCTCTGTCAGCCAGGGTCTGGAGGCTCTTACTGGAGTAGATGGCCAGTTTGCTGTACTTCTGTGAACAGTCACTCACTCCCTGAGTGTTTGGAGCCTTTGCCTTGCAAAGCCTGTTCCCTCTCTCCCTTTATCTGGGGTGGTGAGTAAGGAAGGAGCATGACTGATGACAGCCAGAACTAGAAGTGAGTTTGTTTGCTGTACTTGTGCTGCTAGCAGTGTCCAATCCCAAACTCCTTAAGAGGTGAGGGCTTGGGCCAGAGCAGGGCTGAGCCCAGCCTGTGGTCTGCAGTGGGGAGGAGGTTGGCCTCTGTAGAGGAGCCTACTAATGTCTTGTTTCTTTCTAGCCAAGAAACTGCCAAAAAATGAACCCCAGAACGCTCCTGGTGGCCCAGGTAGGAATCGGGTGGTTGACCTTCAGGAGAGCAGTCAGCCTAGCAGGAGCCAGTGCTGCAGCAATTGAGCAGCCGTTCCCGCCTGACGGAGCCCTTGAATGACGTGACTGGAATCCACGCTAACAATCGCACTTACCGTAGAGCGGCTGCTGCCGGTGGCTGCTGTGATTTCTCCATCCCTTTCTGATCATAGGCTGGAGGGAGTTCTTCCACCTGCACCTTTCTGTACAAATACTAATTCAATTCTAAGTCTTAAGTCACTTTTTTAATATATGAACTTCTACTCTTCCCTCTTCCTGGTGGTGGTGGATGCATGACCTGGTGTCTGCCCAGCCAGCTCATCCCTTCCCACGGGTGAGGGCCAGCAGCACCCAGGTCCCACAGTACTGTAGTTCACTATTGGAAACAAAGGGATATTGAGACTAGGCAACCTTGTTTAAAATTACCCGTATGTAAAAGCTAAGGCTAATACCAGTACGATATGCCTAGAACAACCACTAAACTGTAGCATTATAGTGACAAACTCTGGCTTTTCAGCCATGTATTGACCAAATCAATTATGAGTATTCTGGGGTGGGGCAGAGGGAAGCAAAACTGGTTTCTTCTGTATTTTGTATTGTATGTTTCTTCATGTAACCAATCAGTATCTTGTCAATATAGTACATACAACTAGCTGCCTGTTGTCTTTATTTGTGTTGGACTCTAGCATGCCAACTCTTTTTTTTCTATCTCTGGTTCTGTTGTAATGCACTAATCCTGTTGCAACTTTTGCAAAAATCTTGTATAGAAAATTGTCCTTTTTTTGATGGTTGTGATGCCACTAATGTTGTTAACCCTACTCTAGTGTGAATACACATGGTTTACTGATGTACAGAGGTGGGGTGGGGGAAACCTCGGATAACTTGTCAGTGGAAACAATATGTATTGCAAAAGCCTGTAATTCCACAAAGTATGAAGGGAGGTATTAAAATGGCTTCTGTTGCCAGACTCTAACTGATGTTGGCTGCTGCCTAGTGCCTAATGCAATGTCTTATGCATACTGGTATTTAAGAGGAACTGTCAACCTAGTCTTCATCACAAACTTCAGTTTTGTGTGATTAAAAAAAAATTTTTATAAACCTATCATAATCAACAATGTTCATGTTTCTTAATCAGCTCAAACCAGAAGGAGAGTGGACCAGAACATAACAGTTGTGCTGGAGGCTGAGGTGCGCTAGGCTGCTTGTGGTGTGTACAACACCCAGCTCTTCTGTAGGGATGTGTGGCCTTCCTTCCCTGGGCAGGGAGAAACGTGGGCTGCTTGCCCTCAGACCTCTGCATGCTGTGCCGGCTGCTCCTGCAGCAGCCAGCTCCCCCGAGAGGCAGGAACTCCTTACAATGAGGCTGCAGGTGTTTCAGTAAGTTTGTGGTGTGCTGTGCAGCGGCATGCAAGGAAGTTTGAGGTAAATAGTGGGAATTTTTAGTTGCTTAATACTTCTAGAGGAACTATCTAAACTCAAGTTGGGAAGAGGTGGGGGGACCAGTATGCAGAGCTCAGCTTGACAACTGGACAGGCTTAGGAATACTGTGCTCAAGTATTAATGAACAAAATGGCTCTGTCCCTGGAGGATGATGGCCTTGAAAGATGCTACTCTCCTGTCACTGCTGCATGGACTCGAGATCCTTACACCCATGGGTGAGACCTGGAGTCAGTATGGAAAACAGAGCATCCCCTTGCAGCTCTACTGCTACTATGTGTGCTGGTGGGCCGGTACCATACATGCTTGGGAGAGCTTGAAGATTGTGATGTGCTGGTGCTTGAACCTGCTGCCTCTCCTCAGCTGTGTGTGGCTGCTGAATCTCTGCGAGAGGCACAGCTACAGTCAACTGTGTGACCATCCCTGGGCTGGGCTTGTCCTTGGCTTGCACTGTTGGGGCTCTGAAAGCTCTGCTGGGTACCTGCGAATAAAGTTGTGTGAACAGCCTTGGCTCATGTGGGCTTCATCCTCTATCCAAGGTGCCTTTTGCTCATGCTGCATTTCCTTAAAATCCTGGAAACAGGAAGGGTCTGCAGTGACTCAGTCACTGAGTTCCTGACGTCTGGCTGGAGCACGGGCTGCCTGTGCTGTGTGGGCTCCAGCAGCCTCAGATGGGCTTCACTCGCCTCATGCTGTGGGTGCTGGTTGTTTCCATCCCCTGCAAGGGAGTCTGGCTGCTCATCTGCCAGAGGAGCAAGAGAGGGACCTGTTGGAGAAGGGCTTCCCCAAATCTGAACAATCTTGTGAGCTCAAATCGAGGTGCTGTTGCCATCTGCTGGCTTCTTGTACTTGGTTCCTGGTTGACAGGGCTTCATTTCTGGCTCCTTCCAGGACTCTGGGTCTCCATCTCTGTGAAGGAGCCTGCAATGCCCTAAGGGGTGTCTTGCTGCTGCCTGAGCATGTAAGGGACTCGGTATCAGGGCTGGGGACCTGTTGCTGGATGCAGAATCACGCGGCAGTGCTCTGCAGAGCAGAGCCTCCTTGCTGCCGGCACCGTGCTGCCACGGGGAAGGGTGGTCCGAACTCAGAGCAGCTTTAGCACAAACAGGTGTGCCTGCCTGCATACCTGCTGCCTGCCCAGGCCTGAGCATGGGTGTTTATGGTGGTTACGCACAGTGCCTGGAGATGGGCTTCACCCTCCCTGCTGCTGGGATCCCAGAGGGGGCTCCAGGAGCCCCTTTCCAAGCTGCCTGGGGGGAAAAAATGTGGCTACAACAGGGGCACCCGACACCCAGCCAGGCCCTCCAGCACGGTTGTCTTCCTATTCAGTGGCATTGGCCAGGGAGCGAGGGGCTCTGGAGCTGGTGCAGATGCTGGCAGCAGCATGAGGAGGGGGTAAAGGCAGCATGCCTGCTCTCTGGGACAGCTGCCTCTGCTCCAGCACAGGTGAGTGGGGCTGCCCCTCTCCACTTGGGAGCCTCCTGCCTCCCCCCACTCTGAGCAGCGCTGTGCTCGCAGATCCCTTCCCTCCCTCCGGGTCCGCTGTCGGCCCCGTTTTGTGCTGCCCTGAGGCACCAAGAGAGGTTCTTCCCTCTCTGTGCATCTAGCTCCTCTGGCATCAAGAGCTGAGACCAGGGCCCAAGCCTTCCCATCAATCAACACCATGAGAGTACAAGCAGGTTCTATGCAAAAGTATTTTTATTGGATACAAAAACATTCCAGTATAGTGAAAAAAATAACATCATTGGTGATGGAGCTTGTCTGGGCTAAAACCCAAGACTTGCTGCTATCTTCTCCGGTCCTGCCGCGGGCCATCGCTTCCCCTCCCGTTACACCTGGGCTTTGTGGGTGGCTCCATCCTCAGAGGCTGGTCCGGGCTGTGGTGCTGCAGGGCTGACCTGGATGGGCACGTTCCTCTCCGGCGCAGCCGGCAGGGCCAGCCTGGGGGCCTCGATGCGGAGCTGCCCCTCCTTGGACAGGGAGCATGTCAGCGCCTCGGCATCCACCTCCTCGGGCACGTCCCACTCCCGCTTCAGCACCTCGTACTTGTAGGAGAAGGAGCCCTTCTCGTCTGTGCTCTGTGTCTCCTTCTGCCCCACCAGCACCACCTTCCTGCCCACCATCTTCACCGACAGCTGCTCAGGAGCAAAGTCCTTCACGTCCTGGCAGACGGAGAAGCCCTCCCCGGAGCCCTGGGGCCGGGGTGTGGCCG